TACAGCAGGATTGGTGCAACGAAGTCATCGCTCAATTCTATGCCACCGTTTTCTTTGATCCATATCATGCCATGCAATGGATGACCCAAGGATCCTGGTTTTCTGTCTCCTATCCGCGATTGGCTGAGATTTGGGGTTTTGATTTGCATGACTTGCTCAACCTTCCTGATCTGCATAATCTTCCAATTCCTGCCAACGCTGATTTACTCCCTCTTTACATTCCTAATGATCCTAATGTGGTGTTGGGTAAGGTCGACAGTCTCAAACCGTACTTTGCCTACTTGAACCGGATGTTTCACCGGTCCTTTGTGCCTAAGGATGGTGATGCTAGCAGCATTAACCACCTCTCCAGGACCGTGCTTGTCAGGTTCGATCCCCCTCCTCATCGCTTTCATGTTTATCACTTTGTGTGGGAGGAAATCTGCATGGCCTCCATTTAGTACAGGAAGGAGTTGGTCTATGTTCCTCACATTATGTGGATGATCGAGACTGTCACTCAGCTTCAGTTTCATCATGATGTGTCTCATTCCCAGCTTCACTTGGGCCTTGTCAAGGCCCCCCGCTCTTCCTAGGTAGGCTCCTCAGCAGCTAGGGACATCCCCTCTTCTTCCACTCAGCCGCCTTCTACTTCTAAGCGCCCTTCCTCTGTGGCTCATTGTGAGCCGTCTCCCTTATTCCGTATTTTGTGGAGTCTTTTTGGTCTTTGCTCCGCGGAGGCAAAAAATAACCGCCGATTGCGGAATTCGGCGAAGAAAACGGCTCGCGACGTCAAATACCTCAAGGCGCGATATAATGAGGACCACCACATCGATATCCCTCCTTCCCCTCCGGGTTTTGAAGCCGAGCCCGATGAGCCAGAGGAAGAGCTCGAGGATCCATTTGCTGGGTTGCCTCCTGACTTCGACTTCATTATTGTTACTACTTTTTATTGTGAGTTACTACCATTCCATCATGACGTTATTGTATGTGTGCAGTAACAACTATAATTTTTACAGTAACAGTGCATGTTACTGCAATTTCTTAATAGCGTTACTGCAAAACATGTGGTAACAACCAAACACACAGGTACATGACCTACCACCCACTTTGAACCAGTAAATGTAAGTGCAAGTGATATCTTTTGAATTCTCATCTTTAAACAATGATATCTCTCACACCATCTATTATATTTTTGAACCGTTTGCATCGTAATGCTTTAAAAAAAGAACTCTACAAAACTAGATCCGTCATGACTATATTTTAACTATATTTTATTAGTGTTACTGCATGGTGGTTGTTGACGGTCCTTAAATCATAATATCTGACCGTCAATACCTTCGTATAATGAAATAAAACATGGTATCCAACGTAGTGGTAGGCATTATTACTAATCATTTCCACTAGTGTTGGTGAAATATGTGTATGCAGGTATTTTGAGAAGAAAACACATCCGTCAAGCGACAAACTGCACCTCCGCGCATTCAGGACACATTTACACGGATTGGAGGCCCCATAAGTCAATTAAACAACTCCAAATGGGCCCAACTATCATGCCAATGGGCTGAGGGCCTCAAAATTAGTGTCCACGACGAAAAACGGGCCGAACGGAGCCGTCCCGGGTTCGGCCGAAGCTCCAGTTCGGCCGAACCGTTTTGGTGGTCGTTGATCGTCAAATTTTGCGTGGATGGCCCTGATCGCATCCTAATGGCGGTTCCGGGGTAGTTTGGTCATTTCGCATAGGCTGTAACCGTCATACCTGCCTATAAAAGGAGGAGCTCACTCTCATTTCCAACACACAACTTTGGGCTGAATTACAAGAGGCTCTATTGTATCTTTTGTACATTAGAATAAGGTAGAGAGTGAGGGGAAGCTCTGGAGGAGTGCCTAGAAGTTTGGCGCTCATCCGACTTCTACCTCGACGAGTGTAACTTCCTAGGAGGAATTCTGGAGGAGTACCGGAGCTGTTGGTACACTCTGCTCCGGGTTCGGGGAAACTTCTATAAAGTAAGCATTCGTGTTCCTTTCTTATGTTATTTAATTACTTTGTTTAAGTAAGATTTACATCTTTGCAGGTTCGTTGTTTAGTATTTATACTAAGTGCTCTAGTACTAGGACTCCGGATAGAGAAGGAAGTTCCTGCGCAAGTATTAGAGTAGTAATTAATAACTTAGACATGGTGTCTAGGTTAGAGATTACCTTTGTTTGTTGTGTATCCCACGGATTTGTCAGAGGTAGGCGGCAGGTGGTGACAGCCCTGAATCCCATCCTAGTAATCCTCCACGTTCGGATACATCATAGAGCTATAGCCGGAACCACGCTGGCAGACCAGCAGGGGTCGGTGCCCTTAGCAACAGATAGGAAATTACCTTTGCTTAGCTTAGATAATTAAAACACATAGAAAGTCCTCTCTAGCCTGCCTAGCCTACCTATAGTTGTTGTCCTTGGATTGTCTTAGCCTTAGGTAGATTACACACGTTCCCTGAGTTCGATATCCTTTTGGGGTCACCCGAAGGTGAAGTGCTACAGCGGTATTCCGTGCGCTTGCGGATTTATTTGTGGACATAAGAAATACCAACAGTGGTTGTCCTGTTACTGCACCGTTCATACGAGACGAGGACAACAAATAGGTGAACGTGGGAGGAAGTTAGCACATGGGTTGACCGACGTGGCAGTGTTGGTATTTCTTAACGACATTACTAGAAATATAATTCTCAACAATGGCGCAGAAATACTTCTGGTATATTATGGTTACAGAGTTCATCCACAAGCGCACGGATATACCATTGTAGCATTTCACCCGAGAGTATTCCAAGAGTATCGTATTTATTTTATCCCGTGAGAAGATCATGTAGAGACAACTCAACTAATAATTTATATATTACTTGTGATAATCATATTCTAAGCAGGGATTAAGATAATCCAAGGGTAGAGTGACACACAAGCATTAACTACTCATTCTCATAATATATCATCTAAGCTAAGTGGAGAGAAAAGAGAAAGAAAATCTATTCCTATACTTCTAATAGTATACATACATTCTAGTTAACTAATATACTAGCTAATACCCTCTATCCGATGCCCGCCTAGTACTTCGAGAAGCCACCCCTGACTGCCGAGTTCCTTACGACAGCCCGTCATGACCATACAACCGGGGCTAAATACGGAGTAATACCCTCCCAGGGAATTAACTTAGGATTATATACCGGCGCGAAGGAATACCCGTACTGAGCTGTCACCATCAGCGGCCCACCTCTCATCCGTAATATATAACCCCAAATAATGATATCCTGTAATCTAGACACCACGCCTAAACTACCAGATACTACTCTAATATCATCGTCATGACATAGAGTAATTGCATAAGCAAACATTATACCCGCACCAAAGGATCTCCCAGATAAGCTAGCCGTATATTCAGTATAACATGAACATAATGTAAAGTAGGTATTCATATACTTGAAAAGTATTTCAATACCATAAATGTATTTAGAAGAGTATTCTAATAAAAGTACAAAGCTTACAAAAGAGGAAAGGAAATCTGCTAGAGCTATACCCGAACTCTTCCGAAGGCTTCCGGACTCCTGATTTCTACTCTATTCCTATTCCACCAGCTAGATACTACTAAACTAAACTTGAGAGAAATGAGAGAGCTATTGCTTGAGGTGTATGAGTGAAGTGAGGAGAGCAGCTCCTTAAATAGGCTGCCAATGACGGTTGTGGCAGTTGGAATGGTCGGAATTGCCCTCCAACCTTCATTGGGGAGTGATCCACGCCTTCCAGCCAAAACCTGGATCCAACGGCACCGGGGGAGGTTCGGCCGAACCAGGGGCCGGCCCAACCTGGCCCATATTCGGCAGGTGGCCTCCTCTGTTGTTCTCCTCCGTAGACTTGTGAAATTTGGCCCAGTATGTCGTGTCAATTCTGAGTTCTTGGCCCATTCATGCATAAGTCTAACTCTCAACATCGTCCGATTGATTTATCGTCTATGTTGATGTCGATTCTCCTCCACTTTATTGTCATTCTCTGCAAAAATGTTAGTAGACCTAATACTAGTGGAATATTATTGTTCTAACAGATATATGCATTGCAAGTATCACTAGTTTTCCTTTATTTTAGTAATATTGAGAGTCGAAACTGATCAATAATGACCATCAACAGGCAGCGATTTGACCGTCCTTTGACCACGCTTTAACTGGGGTGGGAGGTGGGTTTTGAGCCCAACAAAAGAAGGGGGAGGCGTGTTGGGCTCTTGAGGAGGAGGGGGTATAGAACTGTTATTCACCCAGGATACGTAATAGTTAAAACGCTCCCCTCACAACCCACCCTCCCCCCCCCCCCCCAACCCACACCCAACCACCTCACCCTCACCCTCACCCTGTTTTCTTTTTTTTTCCCACACACACCCCCACCTGTTTTCTTTTTTTCGCCCGCACACACACCCTCACCCTGTTTTCTTTTTTTTTCCCGCACACACCCCCACCTGTTTTCTTTTTTTCGCCCGCACACAGTAACTACCGTTCGTTTCCTCTTTTTTCTTTTTTTTAGTTTTTTTTCCCACACATACAATGTTTCCTTGAGTAACAAATTTACTAATTGGGTTTATGGTAGACAATGCTTTTCCCTTTACAATGAAGTACCCCAAAAATATCATATCAGTAAAAAAATTACTACTGGTTCTATATAGGGTACTGCTCGTTCTTCTTCTTGCACATATTACACAGGCATCTTCTCTTAGTAAAAAAATTACTACTGGTTCTATAAATGGTACTGCTCATTCTTCTTACACAGATTGTAGAGGCATCTTCTCTTAGTAAATAGATTACTTCTGTATAATCAGGTAGAGTTGCAAATGTAGTAATAGATTTACTCTTCGACTAAACTCAAATGGCACAAAATTTACATTTTAACCATACTGCCACATAACGTAGTAATACTTTTACTCAAGTGTATTTTTCACGTGAAGTAATACTTTTACTTTTAGTCAGGTATATTTTTCACTGGATCACTCAGGAGAAACCAAATTAGGAGTAAACGATCAACATTTTCACCAAATTAGGAGTAAATGATCAACATGTCACTGTATGGGTAAAAAAAATTACACATCCACAGGCAAAAAAAAAAAAGAGAAGGAAACATGAAGCTAAATCCACAATGTGTCGGCGTGACTGCTTGGTACGTGTTGGATCTGGTGTTGAGGGAGCAGTCGGCAGAGGCCACTTCGTCGGTGCATCAATCTTCCCCAGCGGCGAGCAGAGGGGCAAGCCGTGTTGATGGATAGAAAAATTACGCATTTGTCATCTCCAGCATGAATTTAAGCACCTCTTCAATTCTGATTTCTAAACTGGATAAAGAGATTCCACTTGAAATCATTCTTGCAAGCAGCAGGGTTAGGCTTCATAATCCTGATCAGCAAGTGCAGCTAATCTATGGACTGGTTGCACTGCTTCCCAGCAATATCTGGCACTATATTTTCAGTGGATGGTTCCATGCACACAATATGTTAATATACCTGTGAACTTAGGCTGTGTTTGAGGAGAAGGAAATAGAGAAGATTGGGAAGATATGCAAAACGAGGTGAGCCATTAGCACATGATTAATTGAGTATTAACTATTTTAAACTTAAAAAATGGATTAATATGATTTTTTAAAGCAACTTTCCTATAGAAAATTTTTGCGAAAAACGCAACGTATAGTAGTTTGAAAAGCGTGCGCGCGGAAAACGAGGGACAATCCCCCCTATCTCCCCTGAAAGAACGCAGCCTTAATGCAGTTGTTAGTAAGTTTTTTGTATGCGCTTGTAAATTACACCAAAGCTGTTATCCTTCGACCTCACCAAACCCCACAACTTTCACAATATTTCAGAGCTTCGATGCCAACAGAGTATCAAACTGTCCAGCCAACCAAAATGAAAATTTTAAAATGGCTTCACTTGGACAAAATGACATTCAGAGCTCTGAAAAACATCTCTCTCAATGAAGATTCTCCATCCATCTTTCAGCCATTCAAAGAAGTATTCTTAAAAAAATTCAGAGGACTGTTTAGCCTATCAGCTAGGTGTTGTGCTGAACTACGAAATTTCAGAAGCTAATAAGATATCAACTACTACTACAAAATTTCAGAAACTTATCAGGTAGAAAATTTCAGAAACTGCTAGCATATCAACTAAATGTTCTCAGAAGACTAATGAAAACAATACAAGAGGCAGTCGAGCTGCTCTGCTCTATTCAGGAGGAAAAAAATCCCCAAAAATAAATCCTAGTTACCAACATATTTGGATGCATGTGAAAAACATACCGCAGGCACCCAGAGAGATCAAAGCATGTGAAGGGTCATATTTGTACCTGGAGGGTGGGGTGTTGATGATCTTGTTGGCAAAAATAGCCAATGCAGAGAAACACCAGAGTATGTGCATGTTGCAGGTGGTGTTCTACTGCTCTGATCAGGAAACCTGCAAATCAATGAAAACGGAATGCAAAACAGATGTATGTATCCCAACAAAGATCTGATGCACTGTTGTGTACATTATGAATCTCTGATCAAATGCCTACGCCTGGCCACCGCCGGAAGCTGCCGCCTGCTCCTCCAATAGGTCTCAACTTGGGGGAGTGGAGCAGCACCAGTCGTCGCTCCAGCCACCGCAGGATGCCACCGCCCTCTCCTGCTGACGGTCACTCGGTTGGAGGGGAGCACCACCAACCGTCTGAATGCATTATGAGAACAGTACTCAGCAGGCATCACCACAGTGAAATCTTTGCAAAATCAATGGGCGTGTCAGAGAAAAGAAGGAAAGAAAACGAAGACGAACAGGAGAAAGAAGATGATCAGATCGATGGGGTTGATGCCAGGCGCACAGAGGAGACGTTGCATTGCAGCATCACTGGCATCCCTTTCTTCTCCCTCTTTGTCTCTCTTCGTGGGGAAAAGAAGCAAGAAGCACCTGGATCTGGTCCGCCGCATCACTGGTGTGGATATGGAGCCGGCAACGACCAGTCTTCCCACCCCTTTGATGGCATCGTCGCCCACCTCGATGGCTCGGATTGCACCAGCCACCGCATGGAGGAGGTGAACCGGACGCCGGGATGTGGCCTCCTCTCCGCCGCTGTCGATTCCGTCATATCCGCCCTATCCAGGACCTCCACCACCATCGGCAGAGCAGGGGACTAAGCATAAGTGAAGAGGGAACAAACCATCGCCGCGTCCCTGATCCTCCTCCATCCTCCACCTCCGCTGCAGTGCTCCGACCCTAGGGAGGAGCCAGATGCGGGCGAACGCGAGGAGGAGCACGAAGCCTCTTCTCCCTCGCCTCCCTCATCCTCCACCACCGCTGCTCCTCCTCGTCACCGCTCCTCCTCATCCCCGAACCACGCTGCTGCTCCTCGTCGCTGCTCCTCCTCATCCCCGATCCGCCGCCGCCGCAGTCCACGCGGAGCGATCGCCGGATCCGTCACGCCGCTGCTCCTCCTCCTCGCCGCTCCTCCTCATCCCCAAACCGCCGCCGCCAGCCGCCCCGTCGCCCGCTGCCCCTGTCGACCGCCGGATCCGGGTGTGGGGCGGCCACCGCCGCTGGATCCAGCGGAGGACGACCGCCCTCGCCGGATCCGGGCGAGGGACAGCCCCGCCGAGCCCGTCGCCCGCTGCCGCGCCGTTCGTAGTTGCCGGAACCGCCGCCGCGCTGTCGCCCGCAGCCGCCCCGTGGCCCGCAGCCGCGCCGTCGCCCACCGCTGCCGTCGACCGTCGCTGCAACTGCCTCTCTCAGATCCGAAAAAATGGGATGGTGACGTGGTTGGTTTCGACGTGTGAGAGCAACATAAGTATATATATATGCTGATGTTGAGTAGTAAACAATTTACTCGGAGGAGGGGGCGCAGGGAGGGGTGCCGCGGGAAGGTGGGGGGGGGGGGGGGCTGGCTGGGGGGTGGGGGTAGGGTGGGTGGGAAGGGGGTTGGGGGTGAGGTGTGAGGTAGGGATGAAAACGGAGCGGATATGGACGGATAATGTTTATACCATATTCGTTTTCATATTTTTTTACCGGATACGAAAACGAATACGGATAGCTCGAATACGAAAACAAATACGGATTATCTCGAATACGAATAAGAATCGAATATGATCGGACACGAATACGGAAATAAATTTTTCTCGGAACACGAAAACCAACTCAACTTCTAATAGAAACAAATATCAACATATATAATTAGCTCATTTTATATAAAATGAGGTATAATTTATAAATATTTTTTAAAATTTAAATAATATTAATAGTATGGACTAGTGTTAGAGATAAACTACTATTAAAATCTATAAAGGTATATTGAAGGTTATAGAGTTAAAAAGAAATGGGGTATGTCTCATGGGTCCTGCGGATATCCGAATAGCACTGTTCACCGGATATCCGAATTATTATCCGTATCCGACGGAAACCCTGGTACCATATTCGTATTTGTATCCGGGAGAAAATATCCGTATTCGTATCTGTATCCGAACTATCCGAGAATTATCCGATCCGAAAGTTATCCGTATCCGTTTTTGTCCGGAGCGGACGGAAACTATCCGCTCCGTTTTCATCCCTAGTGTGAGGGGGAGTGTTTTAGTTATTAGGATGCGGTATAGTATGTCTATATATAGACACACATATATATATATATACACAGTGGCGCTCACATGCGCTTCGCGCCACGGTTTAAATGGCGCCACACACAAATGAGGAATGTCAGCCCACCAAAACCAAACCAACCTATTAGAGAGTTAAAAATTAACTGACGGAAATTGTGGCGCAAACGATACCTGCAGTTCGCATGTCAAAGGGAGAGCGAATGTGATAGTAAAAATTTAACTGTTTTAAATATTGGTGATGAGTTAAGATGTTGCAGATAACAAGTTAAATTTTTACCGTGGTCCACCCGTACGACAGAGTCATGTTTATGTTAAAATCGGTGGTGGTTGATTGTGCATATGAGGTCAAATAGTTTAAAATTAACTTGCATAGACCGATCGGTGATGAAGACGTTCCGTGTGTGAGAAGTTATAGTTTAACTGATTGAGATAATTGTTTTGCCTTTCGATGTCGCATGTAAGGAGTTAAAAATTTGTCTTTGTTTCGGGAGTACTATAGGGCCATGGGGAGAATTTAAGTAAACGTTGGCAAAGTTAAAAAATAACTGGAATGAGCCTATAGATGCTGAAAGACGTATCAGAGGATTTTTTTACACGACATGATTTACATATTGTTATTTAATAACTTTACACGACATGATTTAAATATAGTTATTTAATAACTTTACGTCGCTATGCTGTGGTGGCATTATGGTTGTTTATCCATGCGCACATTACTCCAGATATATCGCGCATGCATGCAAACAAGAATCGCTACAAAATCGCTGAGATTGTTTGCCCTGATATGTGGGAATCAACCATCCTGTCAGTTTCCCCAATATAAACTGCCCGGCTCATCATTTGTATTACGCAGCCAACTCAACCATGGGTGATAAACAAGAGACCGAATCCACAAAGACACATTTTGTCGATCCCACTCACAACCCCACCACCGATGCCACGCTGCAACAGGATGAGCATGAGAGTGATCTCCCCGAAGAGTTTGGGGTGACAAGCCCTCCTCCACTGTCGCCACCCCCTTACCCGCTGTCGCCATCGATGGAAGATGATGGCATGATCTACGCGGAGGACTTGGGGTACATGTCTACCCTATGCCCTTCCCCCCCTTCTGACGTTGACGATCTAAATCCGCCGGAAGACCCCAACAACAAGATTATTCTGCACCCAGCTTTCATCGACGACGGCGGTGACCTTGATATTATACAAGAGGACATTTACAACTTTCGATATGACCAGACCCCGCCAAGAGATGCTCAGTCACCAGTAACCCGGTTCAAGCGCCATAAACGTGATTAGTTTTGATATGTCTATTTAATTTTTGCCACAAACCATTACATATGATAGACCATATGTTTTTATGAATACATTACCCATAGTCCAAAAGGGTTAAAGTTTTTAGATGTTGGTGTTATGTCTGCCGCTTTTTAAAAGATAATAAAGAATGAATCGTTTAGTCATGATATGTTTGTTGGTTTGGCTGAGTTGATTCAGTGGGTGAGTTAGAAATATCACATATGGTCAGTCGTGGTACGCCAGTTATACTTTAACTCACATAGTCCATATATGAGTGTGTGTTCAACATGGTATTGAAAAAATCTGAAAGGAGTTAAAATTTAACTTGTTCTCTTATTGGATGAACTCGAGTGATTTGATCAAGTATGTAAGTTGAAAAATAACTTCGGTTTTGGTGTCGCTCGTGCGCAAAGACGCTATGGGTTTTTAATTTTAGTTTCTAGAACCACATTGATCAAACTGAACATACGACGATGGATAGTGAGAATGGATATAATTAAATAAGGATGGAACTAGTCACTGTTGAATTTAAAATACAGATTCATAGATGAAAAAAAAAGACAAGTATCATATAGACTGTGTTATATAAAATTGGAGTGTCTATACTGTAATCGTGCGGAACCGTTTTCATAACTCCCGAAATCATCGTCTGCATTTGTTTGATCGTCATCTGTATACCCAGCAGATTCAGCTGCATCTTCAGCTCACTCGTCGTCTAAACATCTTCGCAGTGATGGACCCTTCCTGCTTGATCTCCTTGTTGTTCTAGGGACTGCAGTACTAACTTTGCATCCAACATTGGTACCACGTCCTCTACCCCTGCCGGATCCGCGTGGCCTGCCCCTCTTTCCCTTACCCCTATTAGCAGCCTTCATCACCTTGTCGAAATTTGCTGGGTTTGTCGGGCATGTATTTGCGTAATGCCCATCCCTCAGATGGCACCACCCACATTCCCGTGTGCACAACTTTTTGCCCTTGGCTCCAAGTTGAACTTCCTCATCCGGGTCATGGGTCCTTCCTTTTATTCTTGACTTTGGGGGGGGGGGAGGGGGGCTCCCTGCTTATTTCGGCGTTTTGAACTCGTCCAGCAATGCCATCTTGCGTATTGGTGTCAACAGTCGCAGTAGAGTCACGCGGTATCTCCTCTACTTGACTACGCAATCCCTTCAGAACAGCCATAGCCCTGTCAAACGCTACCTTCAATTTGCACGCCGCCCTAGCAACTCCAAACGCTTCAATCATCATCATATTTGTCCTGTAACTTTCTTGAACCCCATCTGGTCTAGTTGTCTCTCGATCCCGCCTATCAAAGGGCACGTTGCTCTTCGCTTTCATTGTGTACCTCTTTAGGATGTAGACAGCGGGTATCTTCTCAACTTGTACATGAACAAATGCCCGGAGCATGTGTGTGCAGAACATGCCTAAATTACATCCAAAAAAAGGAGAGAGCATTTAAACCAAAGTATTGCGATGTGTGATAACGGAATGCTGAAAATGTTAAACGTACATAAAACATCGATATCGAGTTTATACTATAAAAATACCTGTATGCTCCCACTGTTTGCACTTGCATGTAAATACCCCTTCATCGACATCTGCAATAACCTTGAATTGCTTCTGACACTAGTTGTGTTTTTCGGAATGTTTGGTGTGTGACACTGCTGTCAGGGTTATGGATACCACATACCTAGCAGTAGTTGACTAAATCTCGGCAGGACCCACCACATACCATGTCTTATACGGAAACAACCTTCGGATATAGGAGGAGTTCCGCATAAGGAAGGATGACTAGAGTTCTACATGGAAACGATAAGGACTACTCGGATTGTATCCATATTGGTTTCCCTAGTTCTACTTGGACAAGGGGACACCTAGGGGTATAAATACAAGGCCCCCTAGGAGGAGAGGGGACACGGAACAATAGATCAATAAACAAGATCAACATACAAGCCAACATATGCCAAGACAAGACGCCGGATATCGATTTCAGAGATAAGCCTAGGAAAACCCCATATGGTACCTGCGGAACCAAAGAGAGGAATCTAGCGCTGTCTTTGATCTCGCCGGGCATGGATTCGAGGAGGAAGACTACCCTGTTGTCGACTACGTGATGATACTTCAGTCTGCTAAGTTGACAACAGTTAGATAGGCTACCCCAAATATTGTACTGGTGTGATTATGATGAATAAGAGCAACGACCTGCTTCGGCCAACAGTATGTAGGGCTATTACCTGACAATTCAGGGGCCCGAACCTGTATAAAAATCCTCGTCCCTATCTGTTTTACCTTAGTCTCGCATATATCCTTGTACCAACGATGCCCATACTATGCAAATACCGAAATTGCGACATCGAACGTCGACAACTACCCACCCGTTGCGGAAATTGTCGTCTTGTGTGATCCTGAAGTCAGTGCTGTCCTGAAGCACCTCCTCGAACAATCTGAAAGCCGCCCTGGTGTAAAGTCTCGACATCTGTATAACAGATGGCCACCGTACAGCCAACATTGGCTTTCCATGTACAAAAAGAAATATAATTAGTTGGTGTGAGTTAAAATTTAGTAGAATTATAGGAGTGATGTCAGACCGTTTCCCCCAGTAAAAATATCACTAACCGAGCATGCTCTTGTCTCGGCAGCCTCCTTCTCCTTCCTGTCAGTTATAACCTCCAACATTCTCCGAGCAAAACGGTGCAGCGCGGTTTGGTGGTCAGCAAACTTGTGCTTCACCAACTTGTTCATGCTCTCGCTCCGCTGCGTCGACGTCATCCTCCTGCAGTATTCCTTCTTGAAGAACGCAGGCACCCACTTTTCCCTGATATCATATAAAGCTTTCATGATGGGACAGCCCTCCAAATCATAACTCTTTATGAATTGATCCCATGATGTTTCAAACTCATAAGGCGT